ATTATTTACTTGAATGAGTTACACAGAGAGAGAGGAGGCAGAGAGAGAGAGAGTCTTCCATCTGCTGGTTCACTCCCCAATTGGCTGCAACGGTCAGAGCTGTGCTGATCCGAAGTCAGGAGCCAGGAGCCAGGAGCTTCTTTTGGGTGTCCCACGTGGGTGCAGGGGCCCAAGGATTTGGGCCATCTTCTACTGCTTTCCCAGACCATAGCAGAGAGCTGGATTCGAAGTAGAGCAGCTGGGACTTGAACCGGCACCCATATGGGATGCTGGTGCTTCAGGCCAGGGCATTAACCCACGTGCCACAGCGCGGGCCCCCTCCAAAGCTATTTTTAATGTCTGAATCTTAAACTCTACATTGATGGTATTGAAACCCACTTGCTCATCCATTAACTCTTGTGAGAGAAATGGAAAGGAAAGGAATTTCTCTCTTAGGACTAGTCTTCTTATAAGCATCCCCAATATTTTACTTATAAGATACATTTCTGGCTGGCACCGCGGTTCACTAGGCTAATCCTCCGCCTACGGCACCGGCACCCCGGGTTCTAGTCCGGTTGCTCCTCTTCCAGTCCAGCTCTCTGCTGTGGCCAGGAGGGCGGTGGAGGATGGCCCAAGTGCTTGGGTCCCTGCACCCGCATGGGAGACCGGGAGGAAGTACCAGCTCCTGGCTTCGGATCAGCGCAGCGCGGCCGTAGCGGCCATTTGGGGAGTGAACCAAGAAGGAAGACCTTTCTCTCTCTCTCTCTCTCTTCCTCTCTCTCACTGTCTAACTCTGCCTTGGAAAAAAAAAAAAGATACATTTCTGCACCTTTTAAGTGGGAAATTAGATTTGCATTTTATAAAGATTACGCATCCTATATTCAAATGAACATTTTTCTATTATTTAAATTATGACATTGTCCAATTAAATAAAGATGATTCCTAATTGCATTCAAATCAAACTACATTTTGCTCATAGTGCAATCATACTACAGTGGAATGCGGTCTGTAAAAGAGGCAGTAGTATGCTGAGGTCTGTTAGTTCCACTGTTGCAGGTTTACCCCAATGCAACAACGAGCAAAGTGCCTGGCACACAGTAGATGTCAAGTAGTTGTGGGTGCATGAATGAACAAACAAATGAAAGTATGCATTTCTGTTACGTCATTTTCAGTTATTATTTCCCCAAGAAATGGTTCCTTTCCCTATAATTTATCAATACTATCCTTAATCATGTAACTACATTAGCCTCTTCTCAATGGCTTATGTGATTTGTGGCATCTGTACAGAACCTTCTATTGATAATTAAAAGTGATATAACAAGATTCAGAGATCTATGCTCAAAAAATGCCTTTTGGGCTGGCATTTGATGCAGCAAACTTGGGATTCACATATCCCATATCAGAGTGCTGATTCAAGTTCAAGCTCCTTGGCTTCCAATCCAACTTCCTACTGAGCACCCTGGGAGGTAGAAGGTGACAGTTAAGGTGTCCAGTCCCTGCCACCCCATGGGAAACCTGGATTGAGTTCTGGATTCCTGGCTTTAGCCTGGCTCAGCTTGGATATTATGGGCATTTGGAGAGTGAACCAGAAGATGGAAGACCTCTCTCTATCTGCCTTTCAAATAAAGTCAAAATAAACCAAAAATTTAATGCTTTTAAGTATTTCTTTTGACTCCTGTGATTTATTTTATTTTTTTCTTTTTTTATTTATTTTTTTTCTACTCCTGTGATTTTAGATAGTAACATCCAAGCTATAAAATCAAAATTCATATAAGCTTAAAGGAAAACTGTTCTACTCCTCACATCCAGGAGATCATAGTTGAACTCCACGCAAAACATTTTCCTTATCTTTCCCTGAGATCCTTGGAATGTTGCCTTATCAAAGTTCTCCATTTACTCATACACCCTAATTCCATTCACAAATAGCAAAGGTTTGCTGCTTCAAAATGAGGGGTGTATTGACTTTCCCCAGATTTATTCCCCAGGTATAAGCACCCAAACACTAACCAAAGCACACAGGAAAATGCAGATTGAGAACTGCTGCTCCTGCATCATTCTTATGATGTTTGTGTGGCAGAGTGCTGTATGTCCATGTGTCTGTGATTCTGGAAACACAGCCCCAGGAAATTTAAAATACAATCACATCAACTAATTTCAATAGTCTTCTTTTACGAAGTAAAAAAGAAACTCAAAATGTGATTGAAAGCCAATTTCTGCTATTTAGAAAAATGTAATAATCAAATCAGAGGTTGGTTTCAAAAGAAATGTCATTCCCTTCTTTGAATCTCATGAAAAAAACCACTAAACCACACCAGAGGAGAACACTTAACAAGAGCTACGCTATAAAGAAATTAAAGAATCTGGAGAAAACACAATGGTGCACCTGAAAATAGTTTTTCACCTCCTTTGTGTGAAATTCAATTACACAGAAAGCAAACAAATGGAGCAAACAATGAAAATGGCAATGGGATTTTTTTTCAATGACTATAAACTGCACTCTCTAAAACAAAAAGGCCATTTATACAGCAATTGCCTCTAACGATGGCCATTGTTCTTTCTTTGGGCGATTCTGATCTTAAAAATGCTTGCCCTCAGAGACTCACACTGCACCAGTCATGAACTCCTTTATAAAAAAAATCTCTCCCCTCAGGCAAACTAATATCTGCTCTCATCCTGAACTTTCTGTCTCAAGATTTAAAAACTTTAACAGTACTAAAACAACATGGTATTTATATCTTTTAGAAATATTTCATTGGGGCCGGCGCCGCGGCTCAATAGGCTAATCCTCCGCCTGCAACGCCGGCACCCTGGATTCTAGTCCCGGTTGCTCCTCTTCCAACTCTGCTGTCGCCTGGGAAGGCAGTGGAGGATGGCCCAAGTGCTTGGGCCCTGCACCCACATGGGAGACCAGATGGAAGCACCTGGCTCCTGGCTTCGGATCAGCGCAGCGCGCCGGCCGCAGCAGCCATTTGGGGGGTGAACCAACAGAAAAAGAAGACCTTTCTCTCTGTCTCTCTCTCTCACTGTCTAACTCTGCCTGTCAAAAAAAGAGAAATATTTCATTGAGCCTGCTGTGGCCATCCTACAGTAGCAAACATGAAAAGGATGACATCTCTTGACTTTAACTACCACTGTAAATTATTTTAGAAAACTACTATAACACACATGTGCAAGCCTCCCAAAAAGAGCAAAACATACATCAAACAGATGAACTTCTTAAAAATTAAAATACTAGCACTATAAACAATTAACATTTGGCTCCATAAGACATAAAACAAAACCTAATTCAACACATCCCTGTAGATAATACAAGCCCAAGAGAATAATACCAAAAGAGGTTGTTTTAATTTAGAAGACAAATTTATGCCTGTTTGAATGATTTCTTATCAAATGACAGCAAGGATATTAGAACCTAGTCCCTGGCCGGCGCCGCGGTTCACTAGGCTAATCCTCCGCCTTGGGGCGCCGGCACACAGAGTTCTAGTCCCGGTCGGGGCGCCGGATTCTGTCCCTTGCCCTCTTCCAGGCCAGCCCTCTGTGGCCAGGGAGTGGTGGAGGATGGCCCAGGTGCTTGGGCCCTGCACCCCATGGGAGACCAGGAAAAGCACCTGGCTCCTGGCTCCTGCCATCGGATCAGCGCAGTGCGCCGGCCGCAGCGTGCGGAGCGCGGTGGCCATTGGAGGGTGAACCAATGGCAAAGGAAGACCTTTCTCTCTGTCTCTAAACATGACAATAGGTCTGATCTGATTTCATCATCATTAAAAAAAAATCATCTATTATTTTTCACTTTATGTTTCTGTGTAGGAGCAAACTGTTGAAATCCTTTCTTAATGTATACTAAGCTGATCTTCTGTATATTAAGATAATCGAAAATGAATCTTGATGTGAATGGAAGGGGAGAGGGAGTGGGAAAGGGGAGGGTTGTGGGTGGGAGGGACGGTATGGGGGGGAAGCCATAGTAATCCATTATTCGTACTTTGGAAACTTATATTCATTAAATAAATAAATAAAAAAAATAAATAAAAAAAAAAAAGAACCGAGTCCCATGACTTAAAAAAAAATACAATTGATATTTAAAGTAACATCTCATGTATGTAGCATCCAGGAAATCTGTTGAGTCTGGCTTTTTTTTTTTTTTTTTTATTCTGAATAGAGTTGGAAACTGCTACTCACAGAGTAGGAGGTACAAAGTCAAAATTACAAAAATACATATTTCTGGGGCCAGAGCTGTGGCTTAGCAGCTAAAGCCACCACCTGCAGTGCCGGCATCCCATAGGGACGCTGGTTCGAGTCCCGGCTGCTCCACTTCCCATCTAGCTCTCTCTATGGCCTGGAAGCAGTGGAAGATGGCCCAAGTCCCTTGGGCCCCTGTACCTGCATGGGAGACCTGGAAGAAGTTCCTGGCTCCTGGCTTCAGATCGGCACAGCTCTGGCCCTTGTGGGCCAATTGGGGAGTGAACCAGTGGATGGAAGACTTCTCTTTCTCTCTCTCTCTCTGCCTCTGCCTCTCTTTCTTTCTGTGTGCAACTGACTTTCAAATAAATAAACACATATTATTATTCAGATAAATGCTTAGAACCTACTTGAACTCCTAAGCAGAAAAGTCCTAGGTGAAACCTCAAGTAATAAAATCATAACCAAGACAAGTGCCCTAGGTCTTGATGCTGAAGAAGCATTTTCAAGTTACCTGGGGGCTGCTTCCCTTCCTCTTGTCCTTCTGAAGGCTCTCCCTTGTCTAGGCCCAGCATCTATTCCAAACTCACTGAATTGACTCAAACTATGCCTTTCTTTTTTCATTCTGAGACCTTGGACAAGTCTCCTTATCTCTAAAGTCTACCTATCTTCCTCTCTACCAGACCTTCTCCTCCCAACTCTCAGGGAATTCTGTCTGCTTTGCCTCAAGCTCATTATCCAAACTTATATGGGCTTTTACTGACAAGCTTGAGATGTAAATGATTTGCTACAGGTGTTATCAACCCAGTCTTCCATCTTTATTCCAGGTTCTTGCCCCCACAATAAGAATTCAAGGCAGAGGCAAAATACAGTGCACAAGTGAGGGCAGGATTTATTTAAAAGAGAGAGCAGCGTGGACATACATTTACATGTGAATGTTGGCCACCCTATAGAGAGAGATCTGTTGTCATGAGTAGAGTAAGGAAAAGTATGCCAGAGAGTTGGCTATGAAGAGAGTGAGAGAAGAGGAGGAGGCCTGAGAAAGATCCCCAAGCATGTTCAAGAGCAAAATGGATCTCTCCTAACATTATCAGTCTCTTCCATGAAGTAGGGGGTGGTACCTTAATTGAATATACAGTTAGGATGGCTTTAGCATGCATAAGGCTTTTTGGAATGTTCATGGCATCTCCGTGTGCAGTTTACCTTCCGTGTGGCCATCATAGCATCTCCTTCCTGGTCCTTCATTGAAAGGAGCGATTACCAAACTGACAGGTGAGGGAATAAAGTTGCAATGCAGCGTTGGCATAAATTCCTGGTCATCTACCCCCGTGTAACTCCCTGCTAACCAGCTCTGCTCTCCCCTGGTGGACTTCATTGTTTTAATACAGAACCAGAAGAAACTAAAATCTCAACAATATGCTGTTGTGAGTATTTGAAGCTCACTGGCCATATTCAAAACTGACTCCACCACTTCTCCCATGCTTCGAACCTATTTGTGAAAATTTTGGGGTTCCATCTTGTGCACCTGAGGTAACAGTACAGTTCTATTCTTGGGGATAGTGTAGAACAGTGGAAAGAGCACTGGGCTTTGGGGTCAGACAAATCTGGAATCCAATCCATTTGAGTCTTTGAAGGATAGCTTCATATCTCTTGAGCTGCTTCAGTTGTAAAGCAGGGAAGATAAAACCAGCCTCCAGGTTGTAGAAAAGATTAGATAACAAAAGAACTCCAAGCAGAGAAAAGTAGCAAAGAGGGCACCCTCCTGGTGGGTCAGAAGGACAGGTGCTGAAGTTTGCAGAAGAAAGGATTTGGGAGATGGCTGAAAACTTAGTCCTAATTCAGTCCTAGAACACCATTATTAAGGATAGGAATCCTTTGGTTGAAACCATTTTTTCTCCAATGAATACATCTTTATTGAGCTTCTCCTCTGAGCCAGCAAGAGAAACTACCACTACAAAATTAACTCTACTGCTGTCACTCTCAGGGTGAAGGGAAGCCTGGAAATGAGAGCCAGCAAGGTCTCAGACGGGAAGGGATGTTTTACTTTCAGGCTGAGTCCCACAGGGTCAGAGACATTCAGAGGAGTCTCAGTCACACAGGAGGAATTCATGCGGTCTCTGTAGGAGGGTGGAGTGAGGAGCAGTTATTCACTCCCTGTACAGGCTCCATGGAATGATTTTCAAGGGCGTAGTGGGAGGGCCCGAGAGGGGAGTGGTATGGGAAAGGAGTGCTCTCGGGCCACAAGGGGTTTTAGACCTTCTTGCAGACTGGATCATCTCAGTACAAATGGCTTAGAAGGTTGCCCATTGAGCGAATTTAGTTAATGGGAAGAATATGCCAGGGGAGTACAGGAAGTTCTCTGTTCATGTGTCCTTCCAGGTGAGATGAGGAAATCAGACTCAGTATATATAACAGTACAAATAACCCTTCCATCTTTCAAATATAACTTAGGTTCACGAGTAACAGTGATGTCTTCTTCTGTTTGATTTTATACATTCCTGATAGTCTTGTTGATGAAAATGAGTGGCTACCACATCCTTTACTGCAAAAAAAAAAAAAAATTATGTATTTGTTTTCATCTTTCTTGAAAGGCAGAGAGAGAAAGAGAGACATCTTCCATCACTGGTTGTTTCCCAAAATGCCTGCAATGACCAGGGCTGGGCCAGGCCAAAGCCAGTGGAACTCAACCTGCATCTCCTGGACCGGGGCAAGGGTCCAAGTACTTGAGGCTTCATCATCATCTCCTGAGGTGCAAATCAGCAGGAAGCGGAGCAAAAGCAGAGGACTGAGATATGGGATGTGGTATTTTAGATGCTGTGCCAGACTCCTGCCCCAGGTGCTTTACATGTTTTACCCTAACTCTATAAGACAGTGTTAGTAGCCCCACCTGACAAATGAGAAGACAGAAACAGAATGAGCCAAAGACCACATGGCAAATACTGTAAATGAAGGAGCTGGCTTTCAGCTGCAGATTGCCTGTACCCCCAGATCCTGAACTGTATCCTACCGCCTACATGCTCATGGACTCTCCCAAAACAGGAACTTACCAAGGTGCTATATATATATTTTTTTTTTACTAATACCTAATATAATAAAAATCATACTAGTATTTACTGTAACAATGTTAATTTTTTTATATCTTAAGTGTTTTAGGTCTTTTTTTTAAGATTTATTTATTTGAAAGGCAGAGTTACAGAGAGGGAAAGGCAGAGGCCAAGAGAGAAACCTTCCATTTGCTGGTTCACTCCCCAGATGGCTGCAAGAGCTGGAGCTGGGCCGATCCAAAATCAGGAGCCCTTTCCTGGTCTCCCACGTGGGTGCAGAGACCCAAGCACTGGGGCCAGCCTCACTGCTTTCACAGGTGCATTATCAGGGAGCTGGGTCAGCAGTAGAGCAGCCAGGACTCCAGCTGGCGCCCATATGGGATAGCAGTGCCTCAAGCAGCAGCTTTACCCACTACACCATAGCTCTGGCGATTCTACAAATAGGAACTGAGCTTTCCTAAGTTCAAATGAGCTATGACTGAAAATGCCAGTTAGACTATGTATATATATAGATAGATACATATATAATGTATATCTTTAGATATATGTGTGTGTGTTGATGTTGAAGAGAATTACAGTTTGAAATAAAAGGGCAGTGTACTAATAAGATGGTATCTACCCAGAGATTTGACACAAAGGATTCAAATACTTCCAAATCTCACTAATTAATTTTATTGCTGAACATCAAGGCCAAAAGCAAGTGCCTACCAGGACACCGGCTATTTGGCTCTTCCTTAATCATTCTTAATATATCAACGGTAGATTTGAATTTAAAGATTTCCTTAGTTGATAAATTTTTATTTAAGAATCTGGCCATACAAGATTGAACTTATTTTTTCCTTCAAACAGGAGCAAAACCCTTCTAAAACTAATTGAAAATAAAAGCATTGCCTAAAAAGCAAGAACTATTCAAAAATCAAGATTATAGAATAAGGCCCTTAGCTAAAAATAACAAGAGACAGAAAGTTCAGTTTGTGGCTATTTTTCATTGTTTTATTTTTATCCCCCTATCCTCAACTGGATCACTTTTTTTCCATGACTAGTTTATTGATCATTTGGAAAGTTTGCTTTCTTAAGAAAAGACCATTTGTTTCCACTGTAAAATGACAAAATGAAATTTTCTGCAGAAGAAAAAGTATTCAACCACATTAGTAATAAAAGAAATACAGGGGCCGACACTGTGGTGCAGCAGGTTAAAGCCCTGGCCTGAAATGCCAGCATCCCATATGGACGCCAGTTCTAATCCTGTCTGCTCCTCTTCTGATCCATCTCTCTGCTATGGCCTGGGAAAGCAGTAGAGGATGGCCCAAGTCCTTGGGCCCCCACACTCACTTGGGAGACCCGGCAGAAGCTCCTGGCTCCTGACTTCAAATCAGCTCAGCTCTGGCCTCTGAGGCCATTTGGGGAGTGAACCAGCAGCTGGAAGACCTCTGTGTGTGTCTTTAACTCTCTCTGTAACTCTGTCTTTCAAATAAATAAATACAGATTGAAGTGAGATACCACATTTTAACTATAAAGTAGACTAAAATCAGACACTCTGTCAATTTTCAATGTTGGATATTGTATGAGAAAACTGGCTTACAAGGTGCTTTTACATGCTTGGTTTCCGTAGTGTGGTGGTTATCACGTTCACCTCACACAAGGTGCTTTTACAATAGTAAGAAATAACTGGGGTGGGCATTTGGTGCAGCAGTTGAGATGCCAACTGGGACCCCTGCATCTCATATCTGAGTGCCTGGTACAAGTCTCGGCTCATCTGATTCTGATCCAGTTTTCTGATAATTAGCACCCTGGGAGGCAGCAGGTGATAGTTCAAAATCTTGTATCCCTGCCATTCTGGAAGGCAGTGAGTGGTGGTTCAAATTCTTGTATCTCTGCCACACATGTGGGAGACCCAAATTGGTTGCTGGGCTCCCGGCTTCAGCCTGCCTCAGCTGTGGCTATTGAGGTCATTTGGCAAGTGATTCAGCAGATGGAAGATCTCTGTCTCTCTGCCTTTCAGATAAAAATAAAAATAAATGAAAAATAGTTTAAAAAACCCACAAACATAGAAAGGCATTCAGACATGCTCCAATGAGCCTCTCTTCCCCTTAATCCGGGGGTTTCTTGGTCCCAACTCCAAGGATAGTATGCAGATTTCCCAAGTGTCTCGGAGTTGCCCCGGGGTTCAGAAAGGGATGTCAATGGGGTCCCAGCCCTTGCAGAGGTCCCTCACAGCATGCACTTGCTGGTCACTTGTTTGACTCTTTCAGACTGCACCAAATGCCAAAGTCCAACCATGAATTTGATCATTTTGAGGCATGCTTTACAGCAGATTTTATTTCTAGAGCCCAGATCCAGACCCAGAGGAAACAGTTTCAAATTCCTGAAGGCAATATAAATGCTTTATGGCCTGGAAAGTTGCTGTTCCCTTGCTCACGTCCTGCCAAACTTCTAAGAATGGTTCTGCCATTACTCCCAACCTCACAAGCCGCCCGGCCTGGGCCCCACTTGATCTTGCAGGCCTATTACAGATGAGTCAGCTGGTCTTCCTGTGACAGGGAAGCCCTCTGTGCCACAGGTGTGCTCGCAGCCAAGACTGGGTATCTGCCACCTCTTGCTTGTAGCAGCTCAGGTTCACTTCACACACAGCCCACAAATAGCACAGGCTGTTGGGTGGTTAACCATGCAGCACAATGGCCTACTGACAATAACAGTGCAAACAACCATGGGGCAGTGAGTTGAAGGGTGGGAGAGAGGAAATACAAGGAGGTAACATTCCACCTGAAACCCTCTGCAGGGCAGATACAAATGGAGAACTAAAGTGACTACAAGAAGAGTACGGAGATCCACCTTTGCCTTGGGAGAACAGCTAAAGAAGCTGGTAAAGCAACCATAATATGAGATGCCCATGCCCCCACAGCTAGGCTTGGGTGTGGGCCAGGGATGAAGCCCAAAGCTCCTAGTATCATATCTCAGCTCAACAAAAATATCCTACAGGCCATGAGACTTCTGGTCTCAAGCTGAACTCAACATTCCTTCACTCCACGTTGAAAATTCTTTTGCAAAATCCCCATCTCAGTGAGTGACAACCATTCCACCCCTTCACCAGAACAAGAACTTGGAAGCTCTGTGAGACCTCTTGCTTCTTTGCCTTCACATACCATCCATGGCAAGTTTTGTAGATTCTGTCTTCTGAGTATCTCTCTAACCAACCCTTCCTTCCTGTTCTTGCTGCCAACTATCACAAAACCCATTTTCCACCTTGCTGCCTGAAAGGTCTTTCTAAACTGCAAATCTGATCATACCACCAACCTAGGGTCATCTTTCTGTGGCTCTCCATTATCTACCCAGACATGTCAAGACAATTGCAAATGCCTGCACTATCAGGCATTGTGTGAAGTCATGGGGTTTAAAACAGAAGAAAAAAAAAAAAAAGAAAGAAAAGAAAACCTGTGTGCATGTGGAGAAAATTTGCCCCATGCAAAGGCATCCAGATCCACAACTATTAAAAAACAATTATGGGGGACTGGTGCTGTGCCTTAGCAGATAAAGTCGCCACCTACAGTGCTGGTATCCCATATGGGAGCAAGTTCAAAAAGTCTGGCTGCTCCACTTCTGATCCATCTCTCTGCTATGGCCTGGGAAAGCAGTAGAAGATGGCCCAAGTCCTTGGGCCCCTGCACCCTCGTGGGAGACTAGAAAGAAGCTCCGGGCTCCTGGCTTCAGATCGGCACAGCTCTGACTGTTGTGACCATCTGGGGACTGAACCAGTAGATGAAAGACCTCTCTCTGTCTCTGCCTCTGCCTCTCTGTAACTCTGCCTTTTAAATAAATAAATAATTTTTAAAAAAATTATGGGGGCTGGCGCTGTGGCGCAGCAGGTTAAAGCTCTGGCCTGAAGCGCCAGCATCCCATATGGTCGCCAGTTCTAGTCCCGGCTGCTCCTTTTCTGATCCAGCTCTTTGCTATGGCCTGGGAAAGCAGTAGAACATGGTCCAAGTTCTTGGGCCCCTGCATCCATGTGGGAGACCTGGAAGAAGCTCCTGGCTCCTGGTTTCGGATTAACCCAGCTCCGGCCGTTGTGGCCATCTGGGGAGTAAACCAACGGATGGAAGACCTCTCTCTCTCTCTCTCTCTCTCTCTCTGCCTCTCCTCTGTGTAACTGACTTTTGAGTAAATACATAAATCTTAAAAATAAATAATCCGAAAAGAAAAAAAGTTATGGCACAGGAATTTTGGCACCATGGTTAAGTTGTCTCTTGGGATGCCTGCATCCCATTTTGGAGTTCCTGGTTTGAATCCCAGCTCGTCTGCGTCTGATTCAGCTTCCTGCTAACACACATACCCTGGGAAGCAGCAGTGACGGTTCAAGTACTTGAGTCCCTGTCACCCATGGGGAGAACCAGATGGAGTTCTGGGCTCCTGGCTGTTATGGGCATTTGTGGAGTAAACCAGTAAGTAGAAGATCTCTCTCTCTCTCTCTCTTTCTCTATCTCTTCCTCTTTCTCTTTGTGTG